AGAAGATGTGTGAAACAAAGTTGGGCAACAACTGTTCCCAGATTTTAATTCAAATTAGGTGAAAAATTGCAGCATCGGCGAGTAGCAAACGCTTTTTTACATGTAATAATGCTTAACTTTCGTTTTTTTTGTCTGGTCGTCTTAATGGCCTGTCATCGTTTTTATCTAGCAACATAAATTATAGATTCCACTGAAGCATTTTTGAAATTGTCTCGTTTTGTTATGCAATTAGAGAAAAAATATATTTTAGCCCACGTAGAGCTTCTACAGAGAAACCTAGTTATCAAAGCATTCAAATTTTAATAATTAAGAAGAAAGAAATATTGTTCTTACGTTTCTCCATTATAATTCTGTAAAACCATCAGTGAAAAACAAAGATTCTGATTGTGGTACCACCTTTTAACCGGGATACTTGGATTGGTCAATGCTTTTTAGCGATTACGCTGGGGGAGCCTTATAACTGGGATACTTGGATTGGTCAATTCGTTTTAGCGATTACGCTGAGGGAACATTGCGACCCGAACGTCCTTTTATCCGAACCAGCCGAAGTCTTCGACGACTCGCCTCCCAAAGATGAAGGAGTAGGAGAATGCGAATCAGCTACAGATGCCGAAAATCGTAACAGACGCGATCAAGCGGAAGTTTGAAAAACTAACGAGCAGAATGCAAATCGTCGAAAAAAGGGTCCCACAAAGGACCCAACATATATTATCATAAGGCTGATCAAAGGATAAAATCGAGATTTATCTTCTCAGGGACTTAAGGGAAGAAACGCTTCCTTCAAATTTTCGCCCACGTTAACCTAGCTACGACACAAATTAAAGATTTTTTCGAACAATGCACAAACTTATTCAAGAAGGTTAAAAATTTCCTTATCGAACGAATGCATCTTTAAACGCGTCTCAAAACGACCGTGAAGGTTTAGAAGGATTTTTTCTGCGCCTATCGGGACAAGCAGCCCAATGTGGATGGTCAATACATCTTGAAAAGGAGGTCGTTTGTATTCGACCAGGTGACTCACCGGAGGAAACCATAAAATCAGCTCTTTACAAGAGAAGGGCTACGTCACCGCTATAGTTCTACAAAAACAATTGAGCCAGAATCCATCTTTCAATCCACTATCCACTCGAAACTCCTTCAAGGTCAGACAGGAACCGACATTGTCGATTCAAAAGAAAAAAAACCTGCAAAACAGTATATCTAGAGCCCAAAACAACAAAAATTCTGATGACTCAAGAAGAAACAGGGAATCCAAACCGTATTATTTCTGCGGAAAAAGTTTCTCACCAAACCATCGCCAATCATGCCAAATGAAAAATGTTAGTTGCAAATCATCTAGCAAGAAAGGGCACTTCACCAAAGTGTGCAATTTTTGAAAGAATGTGGACAACCTGGACGAAGAATCAGAAGGAATCGCGGACGAAGAATGTAACTTCATTATGTCATAGGAAGTCAACCATTTTTTTTTTGAAAAACTACAAAAATGGCGTACTTTCTCTTATTTTAATACATGATTTTTATTCATTTTTTGAACAATGCACAAACTTATTCAAGAAAGTTGAAAATTTCCTTGTCGATCGAATGCATCTTTACAACGCGTCTCAAAACAACTGTGAAGTCTTAGAAGGATTTTTTCTGCGCCTATCGGGACAAGCAGCCCAATGTGGATGGTAAATACAACTTAAAAAGGAGGTAAGGAGGTCGTTTGAGACATATTCATAGCAAAAATGCGCTTTAAAGATATACAGCACGAACTTTGTACTCGACCAGGTGACTCACCGGAGGAAACCATAAAATCAGCTTTTTACAAAAGAAGCGCTACGTCACTGCTATAGCTCTACAAAAACAAATGACCCAGAATCCATCTTTCAATCCACTATCTACTCAAAACTCCTTCAAGAACAGACAAGAACCGACATTGTCGATTCAAAAGAAAAAAAATCTGCATAACAGTATATCTAGAGCCCAAAACAACAAAAATTCTGATGACTCAAGAAGAAACAGGGAATCCAAACTGTATTATTTCTGCGGGAACAGTGTTTCACCAAACCCTCGCCAATCATGCCAAATGACAAATGTTAGTTGCAAATCATCTGGCAAGAAAGGGCACTTCGCCAAAGTGTGCAATTTTCGAAAGAATGTAGACAACATTGACGAAGAATCAGATGGCACCGCGGACGAAGAATGTAACTTTATTATGTCATTGGAAGTCAACCATTTTTTTTCGAAAAACAAAAAAATTGCCTACTATCTTCTATTTTTAAACAAAATTTTTATTCAGTTTACTTGCTTTCATAATGTACAAACTAAACTAAAAAAAACGTCATGTTTATTTCTCAACGCTGTAAATTTTGATCTTTTTATATATTTTGGTGCCTTTTTAAATAAAAACTGTGTTTAGCTGAAGATTCAAAATGTGTTTTTTTTTTTGCTCTTTTTATTTGAGAAAAATGCCAGGTGTAACAATTTTTCGTAAGCGTAAACTGAAAAAAAAAAATTTTTAAATATGAATCATACTTTTAAATTAGTGGTCAGAAAAATTGGACTGAGGATAGATGACTACCAATCGAGTATCGGGTTATTCGAATGAAGAAGATGTGTAAAATAAAGTTGGGCAACAATTGTTCCCAGATGTGAATTCAACTTAGGTGAAATTGCAGCATCGGCGAGTAGTAAACGCTCTTTTACATGTAATAATGCCTAATTTTTGTTTTATTGTCTGGTCGTCTTAATGGCTTGTCATAATTTTCATCTAGCAAAAAAATATATAGATTCCGCTGAACTGTTATGAATTGTCATATGTTAGGACATTTCAATTCCTGTTTCAAATTGATACCGGTCAAATATGAAACATTTTTAATTTGTCTTATTTTGTTATGCAATTAGAGAAAAAGTATGTTTAGGCTCACGTATGGCTTTTACTGATAAATCTAGTTATCAAACCATTCAAGTTTTATTAATTAAGAAGAAAGAAGGATTGTTCGTACGTTTCTCTATTCTAATTTTGTAAAACTATCAGTGAAAAACAAAAATTCTGATTGTGGTGGTTGCCAAACAACATCCTTTATGTTAGATTGACAACCTCTGTGAATGTTAAGCGGCAACTTGTGTTAAGCGCCGTCTTCGACACCAGTAGTTGACCTGACCCAGTCCTCATCGAGTTCTGGAGGTGTAATTCGTCCCCTTATTGCAGAGTCATCCCCAGCAATAAAATCCGCTATGGTCGATAATCCAAACACGAACAACTAATCAGTGTTAAGAAGGCAACAGACTTGAAGGAGGGAGCACTGAAGGAGGTGCCAAAGAAAGTCACGTTAGCAGCAGAAGATGCAGCCATACCAGATCGGGGCATAACACCCAATTCTTCCGCGATGACTCCGATTTCCTCGGATGACGACTTCTTTATAAGCCCTAAGAGAACACCGCAACAATGTTCAGTCACTTTCTCCAGCACCACTGCAAAAACACCGACGCCAGATTCCAGCCCAACGAAATGTTCTCTAGAAAAGAGACTGAAGCCACACAGTCTTCGTCGAAACCGCCAGGACGTAGTCGTCGACAGACGAAGTTCTTTGGTAGCCATATCAGGCATGCAGTGAAAGAGATTCCTGCCTCGACTGTGTCGGCGCAGGAGTTGTCGGCGTCGTCATAAGAAATGGATATTTAACTTGTTAGGAGAAACTAAAACTTTTTAAAAGTCGTCTTATTTGAATTTTCAATTTTGCCAATTCTAAAAAAAATTTCCCTAGAGGGGAAAGTGTGGTGGTTGCCATACACCAGGCTTTATGTTAGATTGACAACTTATGTGATTGTTAAAGTATTATTCGCATAAAAATGTGAAGGTCGGTACTGGTATCTCCACCGTGACAGTGTGCTAACAAATCTCTAGTCACTTTTTTATCCTTGGTGAAAGATTGCAGTCACATCTTATTTATCGACTCCGTAACCAATTTTTACCTATGAAATAAACTTCAACTTTTAGTCAGTTTACTAAGTTAATGTAGCTTTCTATCCTACACTGATCAAGTCTAAAAATCAGGTTTTTTGAAAAAGCATATTCCCAATTTTTATATATATATATAAATGTATATTATTTGCCATAAATTTTTTGAGGTTTGAAAAGAGGAATGAACGGTACACCCCTTCCCCCTTTATTGACCTACAGTATAATTTCCACAAAAATACTGTATATGAATGCATTTCAAACAAATAAAATGTTTTTTTTTTAAATATTTTTTTACGCGAGACTGCATTTGTATGTTGTTACTTAATTGAACACAATTTATACTGTTGAACCAAAAAGGTTTATATAAAATTCTTAAGCGTGTAAATTTTCTATAAACGATGTCGATAACGTGAAGTAGATCAGCTGCATCAAGATTTTTGAGTTTAATACAACTTTTGCTGAGTTTTTAACGGATCAAACGAACGGTGCCTAATTACAGTGCCTAAATTTTTTGAACGAATTAAATTGAAGTTTTTTAGGGCTAGTGATAAGTTTCAAAATGAGAATTTGTTACTGTTTTTGTTGGTAGCGTGAATCAGAGGAAAATTCAAAAAAAATGTTAGAAAAAAAAATTGCAGCAAGGTACAACTGGTCTAAGTTTTTGGCTTTCAAAAGTTATATCGCTATTTTAACGAAAAAAGCGGTTAAAATAGCGAAGGGTGAAAAATCTATTGTTCATAACTACGATTAAAAATTAGGGTTTTTTTTTTACTTTTTACGGGTATATCGACTGCAGATTTTTCAATTTGGTAGATAACATAAATTTTGAAGAACTTTTGAGCATCCTCTCTCAAAAACTCTTCTTTTATTGTCTGTTTTGGAGTGATGACTGCGATCGCTACATTTTGCGCTTTTTAGGCATTGCCCTTCCCCACTTTTTTTAACTGTTTGAAAGATTGCAATGTCTTTAGATCAAAAATAAAAACGTTTTTCACCTGCAGCCATTTAAAAAAAAATTATGGGGGTTTTTAAATTAACAATTAAGTTTTATTGGGATAACTGAAGCCAGATATATTAGAGCATTAGAAGCCAAATAATCCGGCTCCGCAGTCGTTCCAAATTGAATTGAGGCAAGCTATTTGATCTTATCAAAGACTGAACCATAAACTTAAAATAAGCTCTTTCTTCTTAACGTGAAGTGCGGGGGGAAGTTTTTCAATTTTTTGTAAGCTTCGATTTTTTTTAAAACTCTTATCAAATGCTTTAGTTTATCATTTCTTATGCATTGACTTTTAAAGGTCGTTTGAGCATTTAGGGCATTGTATTGATACGAGCATTAACGTGTATCTTTTTTCCATGATTTTTTTCAGAAAGCGAATTGTAATTTCATTGTAGAAGCTTAATTCCTCTGTGATGCAGAATTATTAGAACACGATGCTGAAAGCCCACCTTTCCATTTCTCAATAACTCCTCCCGCAATACCAGCAAAAGAAATTAGAGGCAGTTGACCTAAATGAGTGCCAAAGACACACCAATTCGTTGGTGACATTTGTTTATTGACTGGCCCATTTTAAAACCTCTCGGTAGATGTCAAAACTATAGGTCACAATTTCTTAAGCTACAGAGCTCTGTGCCGACTTCTTTTCATATCGAAAACATTCTTCTTACAGGTAGATAGATAGGTTCCTCCCGCTTAGGAATTCCAAGCGTGTTCCACGTGTATTACCATAATCACCACTCTCACCCTCGCTCTTATATAATACAGAGTATGTTAAATAATATGAAAAGCGGTGTGTGTATTGTGTGTGTGTCTATATCTACAAAAAAGCATCTATGCAAATTTCTCCGTCTTGAACCTTAAATAAGCAAAAGGGTAGCTACAGTCCGAAGGCAACGGTTAACGGAACCTTTAGAGGGAAGGCGGAAAAATTGAATTGAAATTTTATCCAACTTCTCCAACTCCCTAACTAGCTCTATTTAATAGAAGAAAAAATGAACGCCAATTCAATGCAAGTTTTTTAATTCTCTAACAGAGGCAGTTTCTGCCCTTACAACTTTTTTTATTGTTAGTTTTCTGAGGAAGCTTTTCATTCGTTTTAAAAGCAAAATTGCACAAAACCTGCACGTTTTTTTGCAAATAAACATTTTATCATTGTCATTTTTCTAGCTAATCGCCATATTTATTGCCCGTTTGCTACTCAGTTCAGTTTCATCATTTTTTGTTATCATTTTCAAGGTGGAAAACTATTTGGAGATATCTGCTCTGATCAGATGAATGATTATTTCTTGACCGTTTCCGGAGCCAGCAAGGCGGAGAATTTTGACGGCGTAATCTAGTTACAGATTAGTCGCAGCGCCTGCTATAAAAAAAGAATGCCTTGTTATTATTACTCTTTCCTTCCAACTGAGTGCTACTTTTGATCACCTCTTCTGTCCCAGGTGGGGCCTAGATTTGATCACGCCACTAAAAAACGCCCATGACGCAAATCTACCACAGTCGCCGCCGCCACCGCCGTCTTCTCCTCCAGCACGGCCACCGATGCGGCTTCTGAAGAAAACTTTCAAAGGGGATGCTTGATATTTTAGTTCTTACCTCCCTCCCATTTCAGACTACACTCTTGACCACAAGTGCCAGGCCATGTAACACATGCAGTAAAGTACTATGGGGACATAACTTCTATTACAACTACCTCATCCCTATTATACATATTATACCCATTAAAACTCCATTAGACGGCTGCTCACTTTGAATACCCATTCTTCATTTCGGGGACTTCTTCCTAATTAAATTTCTTTTCAAACTGCATTTTGACCAAGTAGATTTGAAAAGCGGCAACGATTGCCACTAAATTTGCTCCTACGAGTTACTAACGGATTAAAAAATTCTAAAAAAGGATATTCAATCCTCAGATACAGACACACAAAATCTATCAGGTATGAAATTCTTGAACTTTGACCCAGATTTAATAGAGGCATCCGTATTTTTTTCGTTTCTTAGTTTAAAAAGCGTTCAATCACGGCTGTCTTAACGGTAGTGAGGGGGGATGTTGCTCAATCAGTTCAGTTTTTTGGACGTCATCAAGTTTTTGAAGTTCATGCGGCTTTTTAAATCATTTATGGGAGCTTTTTTGGCTTGCTCTACGCTCTCAACTGCTGTGTATTTTGACTGCAGGACAATTCCAGGGTATGCGGCAAAATTGATGCCAAAAAATTGCAAAAGACAAAAACCGGCCCCCACCCACTCCAGTCAATCAATTTTTTTTAAATGTTCATACCTGAGTCAAACTGTCTTACAATAAAACGCTTCAATACGTGAAGAAAAAAAAACAATTTGTTTGATTGCTTGATATCTGAGAATTTGAAATCTCAACTTCTACTTATATTTAAGCACCAACCAAAAAAGTAAAAGAAACAAAAGCGCCGCCTACGTTCCGCTTCCCTTTCTTCTGATTATGAATCTAAAAATGACCTTTAGATATGCGACGTTCAATTTTTACTTTTATGTTTCAACAGTTGACGTCATTTAATTGTGAGGCGGAAATGCAACCTTTACTTGTTAGAGATAACTATCAATATAGGAAAGAATGAAAATAAATAAATGAAGTTTGAAGCTCCGTATCAGCACTCGAGCTTTTATTTTTACCCATTTAAGGCAATTTTTTTCAGTCAAATTAACTATCTATAATAAGTTTTGTTTTATATTGTAGAATTTGTTTTTAAATTACGGACGATTAAACCGCAAGACGGCAGCGACAATTTCGCACTTCTTTTTTGAAAAACCCACAACTCGCACCAACGACAATTAGTAAGATTTAACGGATCTTTGTAATTATATCCCCGTTTTTCAGAAAGGGCAATAGAATTGTTTCTAGGTAGAAAATTCTGATATGCTTAATCGTTGGTTTATTTCTTTATTGGGAGGATATTCGTAACTAGGTACCTGAGGGGGGGATAGTTAAAAAGATCCGATTTAACTGGTACATTTTTTTTTCAGCTTTCGGAACTCTATTTTCGAGTCTTTATTTTATTAACGCCTCAATTGCGAATGGCCACAAAAACTATCTTCACAACTCTTATTTTTACAGATTGACAAGCTTTTAGAAGTTGACGTTATCAATGATGAGTTATTGACATGAGTTATCAATAATCTTCAACTGCCACATGCTCCTGATGTACAAGTACTCGATTCGCACATTCTGGCATTTTGTTCAAACTTCTCCATGATACGAGTATTCTTTCAATTCCATTTGTCGCTGTAGTGAACGATATTTAAGAGAAGGGAGTTGTGACCCAAGCATTTTGATTGCTGGCGAAGCGATTTTGGAAGTGGCATCCTTGTTTCGGTCGGGTGGTAGTGATGCCTATGCCATGCGGTCGACTGAAGAACACATTCATCCACCGGTTGTTCCTCTGCTACTACTGCACTCCTGAAGATGAAAGACCCAAGCAGAAGGTATGCTAAAAAGTTAACTTTTTTATACTTTTTGCCATCTAGTTCGTTTTACCATGTTTTTGCGATCATGTATATGCCTATCGTTATACAATTGAGTAATTTTAGCGTGGTCTGCGATCATGTATGACTTTCGCGCGACTATGTCCAAACTTTGATTTAGACTATGTGCAGACTTTGCTTCTGACAAAGCTAAGATTTTGTTCTGGATTTGCGTTCAGACTATTTTTTTGGCGAGGCTCAGAACTTGTTCGGGATTTTTATTGCCAGTATTTCAAAAAAGTTAACTTCAACTGATATACCCTTAAACTTCAAACTGACATGGTTCAATGGTACATCAAAAAGCGTAACAGCAACTTGGCAAAAAAGGTCTGAACATAAAACCACGTCAGCTTATCCAAATAGATCCAAAAATTGCGCAAAATCATTCTTACAAAGAATATGGAGAAAGTTTCCAGTAAAAAAGGGATGACAAATCAACTTGTTTAACTTGTTAAATCATAAAAATTCGCCGAAAAAAACGTACAGTATCAAAATCATTCAAACCTTCAGTCACCCACAGGATCCTCTTTGGTAATGGTGTACCCGGGTGGAGGATTTTGTCTCACTGCTATTACATATGTATGTTATGGTACAACTACTAGCTTAAACAAGTTGATCTGAGTTTTTTTGGCCCAGTAAGTGTACGGAGGCACCAATGCAATGGGAACACTGGATAACTCGTTTTAGATAGTCCAGTGGTGAGCGCGACCCTTCTGGTCTCACAAAGATTCATAGATCGATTCCCCTCAAGCAATATTTTTCAAATATGATCTGAAGGAAAAAAAACCGCCCGATAATGTAATTTCTTTAATTTCATCAAAAGTTGGATTGAAAAATATTTCACGTGCAAATTTCTTTGTAATCTTATGGTGTTCAAAAAGTGCTAATTATGCTAGTTTGGCCAAATTTTGAAAAATTAGAATTTATTTCGTGCTATAAACGTGGAAGCGGATATTATTTACATCCTAAAAATTGTTCCAATTTGAATTGAGGCGTTATATTTGATCAATTTCAAAATTTGCTGTCTGCAAATATTTGGTTTTTATTTTTTATATAGTCCCGGGGAAATCATTTTTGCGTTTTTTAAAAACTTTTATCAATTTTTAAAAAGAACACTGCTTGAACACAATTTTTAAAAAGAACACTGGGGGGGTGGACGCTTTTTTTTTTAGGAATTCGAACCTCTGCGCTAAATGATCCTAAAATTTTTCTAAAGGCGCCTTTGGCGCCAATATATACTAATTTTAGGGGGGCTGTTTTTTCAAAATTTTTGGGCTGTTTTTTCAAAATTTTGACTGCGGCGCCGAAATTTTGGCCAAAACAGGGACAAAACAGTGCTTTGGGAGAGCTCGAAAGTTCAATTTGGTCAACCTAAAAAAAATTTGCGGTATAAAGCATCGATTTTATAAGCCTAAATCAGTGTTTCTGGAGAATCTGCAAGAGCCAAAACGTTTGCCGTTTTGTCTTTGAGAAGAGATTTGGGAAGCTTTTTGATTGACCTTAGGAAACCAATGCCAATTTTTTTTTACTTTGCATATCTTTTCGCAGCTAAAAAAGAATCTTAGATCCACACCTGATGACTATTCCCTGCATTCAGTGCTTGAATCTGGTGTCTGTTATACAGTTGAGGTCAAAATGATGGCTATATCGCTACATAAGCTTCTTAATTGGCTAAAAATTTGTTAATATTGCTTGAGCTCTTTAATTGACCAAAAAATGTTTTTTTTTTCAGTTAATCGATTTTTTTTATTTCAATTATATTTTGGGACGTCAAAATTTGCCATTTAGTTAGAAAGGATTCGTACAGACTTATTGATTGAAAAGGATATTGCGAATAATTTGACAATGACTATACTTAGCAAATTTAGTTCCAATTAGATGGGTTGAAATGAATTGAGAGAAATGAATTGAGATGTTTTTGAAGGTGCGTCCTGGGAAAGGATCGAGCGAGCAGCAGCTAAACAGGGGCAATGGGGACAACAACTTTGCCTCCACCGAGACCCAAACCAACAACTCAGTCCCGTCATCCGGGTACATTAATGTAGCTTCTCACATTATTTGTTTTTAGAAACCCTTTCAGAAAACTAGTTGAGAAAATGTAAAAATAGAGGCTTTCATTTGTGAATTAAGGTGTTCGAAAGGTTGAGTTTGTGTAATAATTGTTGGTTCTCTCAAATCTGATAATATTTGCTGAAGTTTTTTTGAAAAATTTGAACTTTAAACTTGAAACAGTAAAAATTTGCGAATAACGGTATTTTAACGAGCGTAGTTGATGCGATCTTAGACAGATTGTTTTTGATGTTCAGCTATGCCGCCGTCCAACAATGCTCAACCAATAACAACAATAACAACTACCAACTCCGTCGGACACCTTCGTACAAGATCAGCGGGGACCAATCTGACCAAGGTGGGGGAGGGGCTGCTATTACCAGTTCCTCCCCATCCCCCTCCGAAGACGCCCCTGTAACTCCAGAGGTGTTGATGACATGGGTAAATGAGGTGCTAAGTGAGTCATTGGTGCAGGAGGTAAACGCAGTGTACAAGTTCGTGATAGTGGATGACAATAGCAAGAGCCAAAGCATTTACTACTTGGATCTCAAAAACGGCCGAGGATCAGTCGGTAAGATCTGTTGGAAACATTGGTATCACTTTCATACTCATTCATAGTCTATCAACAATTCGATGTTTTGCCAGAGAACTTTCTCCGCCTCAGAAATTTCAAAACTGATCAAAATGTGAAATAAGGGCAGGTAGCAGAATGGGCCGAAGATGACAAAAGGTTTAAGAAAAAGGGTTTACAGTGTACAATCGTGTACGTATGCGGATTATGTATTTTCATGTATGTATGCGGATTATGTAATTTCGAGTATGTATGCGGATTATGAAGCTTCGTGTATGCATGCGGGTTATGTACCTTCAAGTTGAAACGAAATTTTTCATTATTGCTGAAATCAACATTCAAAAGTCTTCAGAGTCTCCGCCAAAAAACCTGAGTAGGAAAGTTAAAAAAGTCTTTGGGGGTCGTAAAAGTCCTCAATGTGCTCGCCAAAAGCTCTCGCCTGGAGACATGTGTGGGTTGGCTACGTGATATTCAAAAAACTCTCCCATGCTGAGTTTATAGAGTTGATTTTGTAGCAAAAGCCATTTAGTTAGTTTTTTTCTCAACACTCAATGCATCATACAATCAGACTTATTAAAAGCGCACTGTCGAAAAATGAATCATAGAAGTTTCATAAAATTATTTTCGATTACTATTGTTGTTCCGACCATTGTTGTTCCGACCATTTGAGGAATTTTGAACTTTGTATTTGAGTGTGCTCTAGTTTTTTTTAGTTTTTATTTGTTTTCCTTGCAAAATCAGGAAAATAATCATTGGAATGGGTCGAATGATGTACCATGTAAAAATTTTTCTCCTAATTCTAATGACAAAAAGTTTCAAAATAATTTTCTGTGTTGATTACAATGTTTTAAAGTTTGCGATTTTTAGTCAAATTTTGAGCAAAAAAGCAAGCAAACAGGCCTAATTATGTTTAAATTAAGCGCCTAAAATAGCTGATTTGTGACTAATTCAGTTTTTTCTTTCAATTAATGTTACTGTGGAGTTTTTTAACGCCATTTTGTCAAACAAATTTGTCAAAAAATAAAAAAAATCTACAAAAATAATTTATAATAAAGTTCTTGTTTTTCGTTCAAATGCTTTTGTCTCACCACTTCAAAAAATGGAGGCAAATTTGAAAAAGGAAAAAAAAATTTTAAATATTTTTTAAGTCTTTGGTCGGAGGATTCTGTGCTACTTGCACAGAAACTGGCTATCCTTGCCTACTTTTGTTTCTTGTTCATATTCATCTGTCTTTTTACCAATCTATTGAGAAAAATTTCAGCGCGTGAATGTTTGATGATTCATCGATGGGTCACGTTGATAAAATTTTCTCGACTTCGATAATTATTTGCACTGATTGAATTTAGCACTTATGTCATGCCAGATAACATACTGATTACTGTTTTTAAAATTGCCGAAAAAAACATGCTTAGAGCCTTTGCTTATCAGTGAGAAACTGCATTTTTTAAAATGCAATCAGGGATAATTATCAGTAAAACGATTTCTGCAGCATGTTCAAACTTCAGCCACTTAGACTGACTAAAAAGCAATGCTCTGATTTTTTGCAGCTTTGCCTTAACGTTCTGCAGCAAACTTTGCCTAAGAAATTCAGAAAAAAAAGGTTTTCATAATCTTAAAAAATAATTTTTTTAAAATTCCTATTCGAATTCAAGCGGACAGATTTTGCAATTAAATAAATTTTTATTTGAATGTAATAATGTGTTTCTGAATCGTTTTTTGAAAGCACCATATTGCGCCTCAATTATACCAAATGCGATATCGGAAGAAAATCAACCCGAACAAAATGATTCTAGAAAAAAAATATTCGAAAGACAGAATGACAATTAGGCGGAACAAAGAACTGACAAAAAGTTTTTTAGCTCCGAATATTAAAGAATAACAAGGCCTCACCCAGCGAGTGAAGGAAGGATGATTTCCCAAATTGCATAGATATCAAATAACAAAAAAAATTTCTTAAACGCAAAAAACTTCAAGTTCCCTTAAAACTCAAAAATTTTCTATCAACTTATATTTTTTCCATCAGAATCTAAATCATATGAACAAGGTTAGCAATGAACATTTTGCTAGCGAGGCATATTTGGTGAAAAAGATCATCGCTAGAATTTGTTTTATAATAGTAGGTTTTTATGTTGAAAACTGTTTTTAATATAGCAGGTCAATTCAAAATTGAATTGACCATCAACAAAGTTTCTTGCTGTTCACAAACAATTCTTTTGAAAGCTCGCCAAGGTTTTTGCTTTTTTTCCATTTAAGAATTATGATATGTGAGCTGAATATTTCAAAAAAAGTAATACGTTTCAATCAATAAAATTTTTGAAATATTTCCTGAAGAAAATAGAGTCATATTAAAAATTGGCGCTATTGAAATTCTGATTCAATTTCAAAATGTGTAGAGCAGGATCCTGGTTTTTGATGGAGTGCTGTCACAAAAAGGAACAATTTCTTCATAATCGTGAAAATCTGAGTAATATAAAAATGTACCAGACTGCTCGATACAGGGCAAAGCCCTATTGTTCCGACTACCTTATAACTTCTGTCAAGTAGTGT